CAACACACAGGAAGCCACAGTCCATCCAGCACCTCTGCCACAACATCTGTAGCTGCAGCAGGTGGTGCAGGTGAAGCTATATATGCGACCTCAGTCACCACAGTAAACAGACCTGGCAACCCCACAATGAAACCTGGACGAATGAGACGCAGATTGATTGTGGAACATGTGACTTCTGCTGAAAAACTACAATATTTCATATTTTCACAGTTTGTATTTCTACAAATAAGAACAGAACTGTTCATGTTTCCAATCAATTAGAGTTTATCAGTTTCTCAAGTCCTTCACTTTAGCCGTGCTTCAGCTTCACCTTCAGCTTCACCTTCAGCTTCGCCTCAGCTTTTTTGCAAAGCACATTATAGTGAAACAGTGAAGTGCAGAGTGTCACAGTCAAAATGTCCTTCATTAATCAACCCGTGTAGGACGTGTTCATCACAGGGAAGATCATCGTTTGTGTTTCTGATTCAACACATTTACCCATCATCACGTGTTACATTCATCGGAACCATTTCCCTGAAAACAAAATAGATAAAATTCAGCATCAGACACATATAAAGGTAAAATCAAAAGATTCTCATTTATTCTTCTTCAGTATAAAGAAAAACTTCTGCAGAGAAAAGCAAACCATCACATCATCCTGATTCCTTCATTTGATTTTATATTTTCTCATTTCATTCAATGATTTCATGTTTTCATGTCATGTATTTAGTTAATTTCTGCTTCCAGTCGTCCGACACTCTCACTCTGATTGAGATCATCTTTTTAAAAAACTCCACAAACATTTTTTAAAAAGTACCAAAACACAACACACAGTAAGCCACAGTCCATCCTGCACCTCTGCACAACATCTGTAGCTGCAGCAGGTGTTGCCAGGTAAAGCTATAATACGACCTCAGTCACCACAGTCAACAGACCTGGCAACCCCACAATGAAACCTGGACGATTGAGATGCAGATTGATTGTGAAACATGTGACTTCTGCCAAAAACTACAACATTTCATATTTTCACAGCTTGTATTTCTACAAATAAGAACAGAACTGTTCATGTTTCCATCCCAACGATGGGAAATGTTGAAGTAAACGTCTGAATCAATTAGAGTTTATCAGTTTATCAAGTCTTCCACTTTAGCCGTGCTTCAGCTTCACCTTCAGCTTCACCTTCAGCTTTTTTGCAAAGCACATTGAAGTGTAGAAACAGTGAAGTGCAGAGTGTCACAGTCAAAGTGTCCTTCATTAATCAACCCGTGTAGGACGTATTCATCAAAGGGAAGATCGTTTGTTTCTGATTCAACACATTTACCCATCATCACGTGCTACATTCATCGGATCATTTTCCCTGAAAACAAAATAAAATAAAATTCAGCATCAGAAACATATAAAGGTAAAATCAAAAGAATCTAATTTATTCTTCTTCAGTCTAAAGAAAAACTTCTGCAGAGAAAAACAAACCATCACATCATCCTGATTCCTTCATTTGATTTTATATTTTCTCATTTCATTCAGTGAGTTTCATGTTTTCATGTCATGTATTTAGTTAATTTCTCCTTCCAGTCGTCTGACACTCTCACTCTGATTGAGATCATCTTTTTATCCGAGACAGCCGTTAATTTCAAACTAGATTTCAACTGATGGAAAAAGATTTAACTGGTTTATTAATTGAATTACACTATACCATGATCTAGAAAGTGACTGCAGGAAATATAAATGAGACGAGACGTTAGAAAACTGGTTCTAACAAGTTCATTCAGCAGCAGTGCTTTTCTAATACAGAACATTTACTTACGTTGGTGTTTGATCGTTGTTTGACTCTCTCTCCCCGTTTCTCTGTTCACCTGGGAGATATATTGAGTCAAAAAACATCATTAATATAAAAAACAAACAACAAATTTATTAAAGTGTAGGAGGAACATTATTTTACCTCTTTTCTTTTTACAGTGCTGGACAAGAACAACTGCTGCTAAGACCAAAACAGCTGCAGCCACCAAGCCTGTAATGACTCTATGAATGATTAAATCCTTATCTGCAGCAGAAATACAGATATTACAGTTAATAACAGTTCTCACTCATATAGACTAACAGTTCCTCACTTCATGCTGTCTCACCTGGACTCTGTATCCACAGAAAGGTGTTGGTTATCAGTGTCTCCTCAGCATCACTCAGTTCACAGGTGTATATTCCCCCATGATGTGGAGATAAGTTCTGCAGCATGAGGCTGCCTGACTCTGACACACCTTTCACCTGCTGCCTCCAGCCCTCTGAGACTGAGGAGGAGACGTCAGCTCTGGTCTGGGTCAGGATGATCAGAATGTGGTTGAATCTCCAGATCAGACTCTTGAAGGAGGAGTTTGAGGCAGCGCAGGGGATCGTTGTTCCAGTGTTTGAAACATTGAGAAAAGCTGAAATGAAAAAAGGGATAAAATTTGATGCAATTCTGAACATTTTGCATTAGAGCATCGTGCAGCCTTGTCATGATGAAAGTTTCAGCTGTTTGAGGAAGTCTGACCCACCACATGGATTTAATCAAGTTCCAGACTCTTTAAAATCACTCACTTGTTTTAAACAAAGTGGCTCTCCTCTTGTTTCTGCGAGTGCTGATGCTGCAGCTGTAGCTCAGATCAGAGTCGCTGTCTGAAACTGTCAGAGAACTTCTGATGTTGTAGAGCAGCTGCTCAGTCTCCTGGACTTCAGCTTGGCTCTTGAAGGTCACATTGGATGGAGGGCTGGTGGACCAGGTGAGCTCAGGTTCAGGGTAGATCCCCTCTGAGCTGCAGGTGATCCTGTTTCCCACCTGCTGGAGGTCGACTTTACCAACTGGAGCTGCAAAGAAAGTAAACAATGAAAAAAGCTTTTGCTTTATATGAAGTTTCTTTAGAATATATTGGATAACAATAATAGTGATGGCGTCTTCATTGTTCTACATGGATTAAAGATAAAATGTCCATCTACTGGACACAATCTTCAACACGAACTGAACATCAGGACCTTCATGAAGGAGGATTTACTGCAGCACTGAAAAACCTTTTTGTTTTGTATTTTCTATATTAACTGTGTTTCTCACCGTCCACTTTCAGGTTGATAAATGATTCATTCCTTCCTCTGTTGGTGCCTGTGTAGCACTTGTATCTCCCCTGGTCCTGAACCTGCAGCCCTGTCAGCTGGAGTGAGGCGTTTCCTCCTGAGATCTGGTCCGTGAACAGTGACGTCCTGTTTCTGAAGTGCTGGTCCTGGTGAGTGAGCTGGTCTTTGTTGTAGTAGAAGGAGTGGACAGGACTGTTTCCTGCTGTCACCAGAATCCAGTGGATGACCACATCAGTGTCATCCTGGAAGCTGCACGGTAAGATGCAGCTCTCCATGAAAACACAGGACACCTCAGAGTCTGCAACACATCAGGTAAAGAGACGACAACCAAAGCTCAGTTCAGGGAACATGGCAGCTGAATCCAGGAGAGCTGTGTTTAAAGACCACATCGTTCATGTGTCTGACCACATTTATTGATCTCTAACATAACAGACTTTTTCTTTTTATATCAGACTCAACCTTGTTTACAGTAACTAGGACGTGTTCTCATCAGGGATTTAAAAGCCAAATATGTGTCAGCTGCAGGTTACACCACAAGCTCTGCCACATGATTTATACTTATTAGCTGGTGGGAAGTGTTTAACACACATGTACAGACAATGCGTAGCTCAGGTTAGTGTGTGTGTAGCCGGCTGTAAATGCTTTAATGTTAAACTGTTTGGTGCTTTGGGAAAACTGCAATTAATCTCCTACTTTTTCAAAGGAAAATATCTTAAAACACTGGGACACACCTCAATTATGAGACACCACTCACTTGTTTTTTATGTGTAATTTTTCATGAGATTTATCTTAATTCAATATATTTCCCTGTGTTCTTGCATTTTCCATTCAAAATGAAACAGTGACGCAGCAGTACGACAAAACAAGATGTTAG